TGTGGATGGTGATACCAATTAACACTGACATCTGGGAGAGAACTAATAATACAGTATTAAAAATTGGTAAAAACATGCAAATATTGTGAATTCGTGGGAGATAATTTAATTTCTGGCCGATTCTTGCTTGCTCGCAGGAGTGCGGGAGTCTTGCCAATTTCCGGGAGACTCCCGCAACTTGGTGGAGACTTGGGACCCCTGAAACCTTACCCTTTCAGTTGCTCTCCCCCTCACTCCATTGAAAATGTTTGAAGCAAAATAAATAAAACTTAAGCAGATAAAAATCAACTCATATCACCTTATTTTGCGAGCTAACATCCCCACATTATTTATCGAGGACTCTACTTCATCATCATGCCCCCTCCGCATTTCATGATTGGTTAAAAAGTAGGACAGATTTCATTGATTATTTTTACTTTTCTTTATTTTACAGGTCCAACTAACAGCATTCTACTAGGATTTGTTCAATGGAATTTTGATCCAAAATATATATATAATGATTCCTCTCATCAGAGGGCTTTCCTCTGTTCACTTGGCAGCCAGAAGAAAGCTTCACTGTTTGACAAAGTACAGGAGAGATATAGATGCATCAAAAATATGTTCAAATGGAGTACAGATTCGTATGGAAAGTGACAGTGCAACTATTGACACGGGACCAAGCGTCCCTAATCAAGCCAGGGTGGTTGTGTGTGGAGGTGGAATAGCTGGTATTTCATTGTCCTATCATTTGGCAAAGGCAGGCTGGACAGATGTTTTGCTGTTGGAACAGGGAAAGTATGCAATGCGCTAGTTTTAAATCTACTTTTTAATAATACTTTGGCATATAGTTAATAAATAATGCTTACTCATTGTTATTTTTTTTATTAGCTTCACCATTATCATTAGAAATATTAGTGTCAAACACATTAAAAAAGTGTAAATTTGAAAATTGACATAGGAAATGACAGTGCAATAAAATAATACAATAATTAAAGCCTAAATAATATACGATTAAATCTATATGAATGTGTAAATTTTGCTTTAAAAATGTTAAATGTAATATTAAACAATTAATGAATGTTTATGAGTGCAATGGGAAGAATATTTTCATGAGTTTCAACTCATGAAAATATTCATGAGTATTGTTCCATTCAACGAGCTGAGTTAAATGAAACAGTCAATCTTTCAATGATTGAAAGTATTCTTTCCATTGCGTGAATAAAAACATTCATTATTTGTTTTATAACACACCTAAAATAGATTCTTGTCATTTTATATTTTATTAAAAAAAATCTGCCTTTTTTCTGAATGGAGATTTTTGTCTTTCTGTATTTTATGAAAAAATCTACCCTTTTCTAAATGGAACAGTCCCACGTCCTTATAACCAATCCAAAGATTGATACTGAAGTCATATCCTTTCCTGGGCACTGTGCAATGGGCAAAAACGGATGGAAAGACAACGCACGGATGGAAATAATTTTCCATGATGAGTGACGAAATGGGGTAAATAACCAATGTCACATGATACAAAATCCACCAATCAAATGACAAGGATCTATTTAGATGTGTTATAAAATTTAATATACATTATCTTTATAATTATTTAAAACATTATTGTGCAACTGATGCAGTTTATTGTTGTTTATAGCATGAATTTTTCTTGTATTCCACATCATTTTTATGTCAGTAATAAAAACTATTTTATTCTGTGTCTAAAATCCTTAGGTTGACTAGTGGTACAACATGGCACTCAGTGGGCTTAGTTGGCATAAGCCACGCAGTTGAGTTTATAAGTGATTGTCGTAACATGAGCAGCGATCTTTATGAGATCATAGAGGAAGAAACAGGAATGAGCTCAGGTATTTACTCATTGTATGCCCTATGGCAACATTCTGGAAAATATTTTGGTGTGACAGAAATCATAAACATTTCATTCGCAAATGGGTAGGCTATTTGTAACTTTTGAATTTCAGCCCTCCAAGCTGAAACACAAAAAGAGCAAAGGTTTGAATTTAACCAGAACCAAAAATCTCCATGATTCAGTGCACATGGAGTGGCTACCAGCAGTTTAACAAAGTGATCTAAGGTTCTCAATAAAAACTTGTTTCTTAGTTCTATGATTCTTTATTAATATTCAAGAAGGATATCTTACTCAGCAAGACATATACATGGATACAAACTGTAACGCTTTCCTTAAGCAACACAGGTCTAACACTAAAAATATTTTAGATCAGTCTCTTAGGTTTCATTTTCTATGCTTTTCATTTTGAAGCTAAGTCTCATAAATATATAGGAGGCCACATAAAGTTTGAAGTTTTAAGCCAAGTTGGAACAATACTGGCCACAACCATTACAGCATTTGATTACTGTAGTTTCTTGTTTTTTTCTTATTGTTTTCTAGGTTTCCTTCGCAACGGTTCAATTGCTATAGCTCAAACAAAAGACAGAATGACTGCTCTGAATCGTATTGCCTCAATTCAAAGGTATGATATGGTGTGCAGTACTGTATGTTCTACTTTATGTACACCAAACATATTCCCTTTGATTAACACGCCTAAAAAGATCCTTGTCATTTGATTGGTGGAATTCATACCACATGACATTTGCACCATTTTTCTCACTCATCATAAAAATGTAGCACCATCCATGCATAGAAGTTAGACTTAACTTTTTTTCATAAAAATAAACCAAATGACAAGGATCTATTTTTATTTATGTGTCTTACAAAATGAATAATGAATGTTTTTTATTCGTGCAGTGAGAAGAATATTTTAATTCATTAATCAATCTTTCAACTCATGAAAATATTCTTCCCATTTAATAATTAAACATTCATTATTTGTATTATACACCTAAATACTGTAGATCTCAGTCATTTGATTGTTTGATTTCGTACCATGTGACATTAGTTATTTTGCCCATTTCATCACTCATCGTTGAAATTCTGTTATAATACAATCTTTTGATTGGTTAAAAAGACACAGGACTGACTTTTTTCGGAAGGTTAAATTCATGAAATGATGTCATGCCACTTATAACCTTTCTCAGTTGTTGAACTTAGTGGTGTGCAGTGTATCGGAGATACATGTTGAATGTAAATTACATTTAGTTAAATAATTGCACGTATAGAGTACATTACATTTAATGTCATTTCATACATTTTTTCTTCAATCTGTACTTTAAAAGAATCTTAGAAACATACCGGATTGCACACATATTTTTGTTAGTATTAAATACTCAACAAAACAACACAACACTAAAAAATGGTTTCATAGAAAATTGCTACACATGATCGCCGATTCCCTTGGCGATGCTGATTGGGAGCGTTCCCAATGAACCTTTCCACTAAGCTCTGCTCCTTGGATATTGTTGCTAAGATCCCACAAGATGACAGTGTTAAAACAAGGCAATGGCCTTGGTTACAACCATAGCCTTGTTTACACGGCAGGAAAACATACGTGAACACGCGTGTGTTTGTGGGACAACACGTGTGTTTGTGAAACATGCACATATTCCTAGCGCTGTTCTGATTGGTCAGTTGTTAAGTTTGATTGACACTCTGAAAAGGTCAATTTTGTTGGGGTCAGGTCGGGGACAGCAACGCAGTGCAATTATTGCATTGAAAACCCTGTGACGACTGTGTAGCGATTTTATGAAAACTAGGCTTAACAGATCAACACAAGTAACTCCGAAAGACCGTTTAAATTGCATACCTATCAAAACTAAATGGACATCGATTTCATTATACAGTCATAAAAGAACATACATAAATTTAAACGATTTTGATATATTTATACCCAAATACCTTTGGGTGTGATTAATGAAAGTATGCCTATGCGTATTTGTTTACTGTAAACAGCTGTAAAGTATTTTAATTATGATACCACAAAAACTAGCGCAAAATCTGTGCGGAATTCGGCTCTTATTTTTAAACCTGGGCGTAGGTTTTGCGCGGAGGATATATCCTAGGCCCGGCTAGGTTGGCTGGCTAGGCCTAGGCTGAACTGATCCATTTATTATTATTTAAACAGATAATGAATATTTCGTATTTGTAGAATAAATTTATAATGAAATGATTTATATATATATATACACAGTATATAGCTTAGCTCGGTCGGCTAATCTGGTGGTAGCCACCATGTGTGCGCTGAACCGTGGAGATATCTAGGTCCCCGGTTCAATTCCTATCGCTGCCTTTCCGAGGGCTAAAACACAAGTTAGTGCACCGTCTTTCGGATGAGACGTTTAAGCCGTTGGTCCCGTGTGTATTTATGGCCCATGTGCATGTTAAATAACGCAGTACACTCTTCGGAAAAGAGTAGGGGATTGCCTCCCTGTGTACTGCCCAATCACCACCAGAAGGACCCCACTGGAAATAAGTCTTCTTCTAGACATTAATGGGCTGTCCTTGGTGTTTACACCAAATAAATCCAATCCAATCCAACCACTTACCTATAAAAATGTTCTTTGCAAAGTAGGAAAAGTGAAGTCTTTCTGTAAAATATCAATATACAATCAGTCAAAATTACTACACTGTTAAACCCAACACGGATTTATGTATTGGCAATCCACTGCTATTTGTAATTTACTGAAGAAGACAAAAAAAAAAAAAAAATCTCTGAATTTAAATACTAATGACTATATTCTGCTGCAACACTCTTAAAATCTGGAGCACTCACTTCATAAAGTGCATACGATACCTCTATTTTGTGCCTGAATACCAAACAATAGGCAGGTCGTGTATGATGTGCGAAACTGATGTGTACCTTCTAGGAAATAATGGAATCGGCCATTGTATTCAGGCACAATATTTTCTTGAGTGCTATAGCATTACTACTACTACTACTACTACTATTTCCTTGTCTCTGTATGCAGCATACCCTTAAGAAAATTGAGTGCTGCAAGGCATACCTCCTGGTTTTCCTTGCATACGAGGGGTGATTCCATTATTTTCTTTTGTGGTCGAGGGTTAAATGTCAAATTTCCATGAACTTGACCTTGTCCATTGACATTTTCCCATTTAATCATCTCTTTCTTTGAATATTGTGTACTCCATTCATTAGCGGTGAATACGTAACATAACCTCCTTTTGTGAAGGTACTCTGTAGTAACAATAGTAGCAATAATTATGGTATCAAAAATATCAATCTGTTTGTTTACATTCAATAATACATTTCTTTGTTTTTTTTTTTTATTCCACAGAGCCAAGAGGGAAGAATTTCAATTAGTCTCACCAGCTGAAATTGCATCTCTCGCACCGTATATTAAAGTTGATGATCTGGTAGGGGGCGTATATTTTCCAAGGGATGGACGAACAAATATATCGGACACGGCAGCTGCCTTAGCTACTGCTGCTAAGAGGCGAGGTAATGTGAAACAACTACTGTATCATTCATAACAACAATGTATAAGCTTGCTAGTTTAGCTCTTTATAAACATCACTTTTAAATGTAGTAGATTTGTTCTCCTTCTTCAGCCAGATAATTGGTTGGCCAACATGTGTACGGGGCTTAGGGTTTAAAATAAAACGTACAGCTTTATTTTGTGTAACTTGAAGTTTTTTAGATAATTTGTTGATTTAATTAATCCGGATTTAATTTGCATTGTCACATTGTGCTCTCGAAGGAATGGATTTAATAGACTGCCACCAAGTGCATGTGCCCAGCTAAAGCTGTGTTCACATTGGATTATTTTTCCCGAAACGATGGTTAACTTCACCTGTTGGAACCATACCGCTGTTCGCACTTGGACCTATAAACAGAGTAGGTTTTAAGATAGTCATAATTTTGTGCAGCGTGGTCAGTCTAATCATGGATACATTCTGTTATAGTGTTCATCAATGAATGCAGTATTAGCACGCGCTCAGGAAGGTGTAACTGAGTTGTGCTATTTGCATCAAGATCTTTGCTACTCAGGAAAAAACACATTGGGCGGATTGCTGTAAGCGGTCTTTAGATCGTCTGACGCTTAGCCGACTTTAATCGTTACATCACTACTGGTCTATGATTATAGACCATTGCTATACTGCTGTCTAACCAGTTAGCCGTCTTAAATTTTTAAGCCTACTCGGAGGAGGCTTAAAATGGTCTTTTCATCATTGCGTTACAGGTACTAAAACTAGGCCTAGATCGTCAAAGACTGAGAATCTAATGACGAATATTCGGCAAGCTTTTCAGCGTCTGTAAAAACCGGTCTACGTTTATTTAACGTTCATTTTGATAAATATGCATGTTTTGAGCAAGCGTAACAGCACCCTCTATTTTATGTTACTAGGGAGTGCTTGTTTGCGTTTCAATACAATTCAATTCAAGACCGTTTTATAGTAATCCGCCCCCGGTTATTCTTGCTGGGAAATATTTGCTTGGTTAAACTGCATGCATTGCTTGGGGAATTTGACCAAGGAGAAAGTTTTGCAGGTTATTCATTTTTTTTTTTCAAAGTGAACAAGTACATGGTTAGTTTGACCAAAATTAATGCCCTAAGCCAGGGGTCGGCATAGAAATTGTCGGAGGGCCAAACTAAATTTTTTATTTAACAACGAGGGCCACACCCAAACTTGATGTTTCCAGTAAGCTTCCGAAAACCTCCAAGTACTGCTTTTACTTCACCTTATTCTCAGTTTTAATGCCACTTTTGCCATATCGGTGTCGAGCCGTAAAAAGCAAGCTGTTTTCTAGCCAGTGTTGCTTGGCGGGCCCGCACACATAGGGGTTTTTCATTCATTTTTGCGGGCCGCAATAAAACTGCTGTCAGGCTGCACGCGGCACGCTTGCCGCACTTTGCCCACCTGTGCCCTATGCTCTGTCCACACTATCAAATTCTATGTAACAAAAAAAATGTGATGTGTCCATATTTGGGTATAATATGACATCACCATGCCCAAATATGGGCACATCACACAAACTTGTCACATAGAATTTGATATAGTGTGGACAAACCTCTTGTAAGCTGGTTCCACTATGTTGGCCAGAGCAGAAAAAAACATCGGCTGCTGTATATATAATATTTACATTCATTTGTACGTACTCTTGATAATAAGGTATTGCTTTAATTCTTTCCTCATCTATTTCTTCTGTGCAGGTGTAAATATAGTAGAAGGTGTTGAGGTTGAGAAGATACTGATTAAAAACCACAGAGTGACTGGAGTTGAGACTAGTAATGGAACTGTTCATTGTGAATACTTTGTAAATGCAGCTGGCCAGGTACAAAAGTAATTCATTTGCTTTTCTCTTTAAAAATGAATTTTAATTCGAAAAACGGGGCAAAATTTTGAACAAATTTTTCATTGATTCATACATTATACAGTAGAACCTTGTTTTTACGTACCCCAGTTATACGAACCCTCGGTTTTACGTACGCCTTGTATCGACGATGACGTCATCAAAAACCCCGAAAATATTCAAAACATACGGCCCTTTTCAGAGCAACCATAAGTAAAAAGACTATAACAATAAACTATAACAATAAACAAACCATAAAATGCAACATATTTTCATTAAACAGCAACGTTGATTGAGTTTAATACTGGGTTGTTCTAGTCTAAAACCACATGAACTGAGTGAGATGAACAACTACCGATGGTGCTCAAAATAATTGCTTTCCTGCCTAGCTTCGTGTGGCAAACCATGGAAAAACTTGTCTGGTCTAATTTTCTACACGAAGCTGAGTAGGCATAGTTTCGTACACGAACGCTAATTGGTTGGCTCGCCCAGTGCAGTGCACATGGTTTTGCTGTTTCACGTACACAAACGCTAATTGGTTGGCTCGCCCAGTGCACATGAGTTTAGTTTGTCTCAACAGGCCCAGACAACACCACAGCTCTGTTGTTTAGAATAGGGCATGAAGGGGAATTCCCAAGTTATACCTTTGTTGTATAGGTAATCTTACAATATTTTCATGTTCTTTAGTTAAATAAAAGACATAAAGTGATGAATTAATACACTAGACACATGGTTTTATTTGAAACACTTTATTATGACATCATAAAGTGATGAATAAAAACACTAAACACATGGTTTTATTCGTAGGCCTAGAGGCTAGGTCTAGCCTAGCTAGGTAACATTGTTCGTTCATACATACGTATATTGAGCGTTACGTAGGTATTAGGTCAAAGGTTACCACAAATTTAACCCAACCTCTATCTTACGAATCCCCCGATTTACGTACGCCCTCCGGTCCCGTACCGTACGTAAAATTGAGGTTCTACTGTACCTAGTTCCCAACAGGATTTAATAATTAGGTTAGCCTGGTTTCCATAAAACTCGCTACATGCATCGTCTTTTGTCAATGTTGATTGATCGGTCGAATCAAGGTGTTTTCTCAATTGCATTGTGTGTAGCAACTTAGTGTAATGATTTTAGTGAAAACACTGTAGCGACAGTGTAGAAATTTTATGGAAACCAACTCACTATGGTAACATATTAAACGAAGTAGGTATTTTTCAGAATTTTATAAAAAAAAATCTTCTCGTATAATTTGTATCATTATTTTAAAGATGTTTTGTTCATGCAAAATACAAAAAAAAAAAAAAAAAATCATAAAAATCATTTTTGAAATTCACTTGCTCTTTTTGTGAAGTAACGTAAACATTATTAACTTGAACATAGAAATTAGTGTATTTAAAAAATGTTTACCCATAATTATACAACTAACAATGACACCTCCCAGTGACGGAAGTGTTCTTTTATTCATATTATCCTTATCCAGTATGAAATCAAGGTACACATTATTAATTCAATAATTTCTATGCTCAAGTTAGTAATTTTATCTTATGTTACTGCAAATGAGCAAGTTAATTTAAAAATTATTTTTTGTGATTTTTTTTTTCATTTCCAAGGGAAGGTATCTCTTAACCACGTTATTTACATCCAATTTCCATGTTCAAATATATAGGCTAAATTTACTGTTGTATTTTATGTCAAAGTTTGTGAATCACCGCAATAAACACTATGCTATCTATAATAAAGAATGTTCAAATAAACTATCCTTTTATCTGTTTTTTTTTTTTAGTGGAGCCGTGATGTAGGATTAAAGAGCTCACCGCAGGTCAAAGTTCCTGTGCATTCTACAGAGCACTATTATCTCATCACAAAGGCAGTTGAAGGAGTTTCACGTTCAATGCCATGTATGTATATCTTGGTTTTTTTGGTTTTTTTTGTATTTGAAGATGCTTAATTTATTCATTAACATTCATGGGTGAACTCACTACATATAATTCCTCAGGAGAAAGTTAAATCTGCTCCTTCCCATATGTGAGCACATGGGGCCTTCCTGATTGCAGCCTGGTTGGTACACTTTTTTTGATGAAGATTTCATGAAGAATATGGTTTGGTCAACCAGCTTTCTGATATAGCCATGTGCACGCTGTTATCTCGACTGGCATGAGGTGGTTGAATACCAGACAGAAATGGTATATTGCTATAGTGGAGTGAATATGCAGCCCGAGATGAACCCCACTGTTTGACACCCAGTCTACGTGTGTAGGTACTGTACATCGTGTCCATACCGCAGAATACGTCATAATTATTTTAAGGTAACCTAAACATACCAAATTTAAAATATTGTACACCGCAACTCCTTTACTTGATCCTGTGCCTCCACCATAGCAATGCATGAAAGTAGAAACAAGGCATCCTTGGTGGAAGTTACTGGAGTCCAGCATTCTGATGCTGGGTTTGATACCTGTGATAAGGTTTTGGTGGTGATGCCATCTCAACATCGGGAGTTCATATTTTCCTACCCTTTTGTGGTCACGGTTTATTAATGCCATTTTTTTTTTTTTTTGGCACGATTCGTGTCTGTATACTGTCAGCGCCTTGAGACGGTTTTACTGTGAAAGGCGCTCTACAAATATTCTACGATTCCACTACAAATACCGCTGGATGCCAACACTGCCACCTGTTGTATTATCATCATCAGTATGTATTTAAAAATATAGATAAATTGATTACAATAGAGATTTGGTTGTTTTTCCTTGTCTTTTTAGATGTACGTGATTATGATGGAAGAATGTATGTTATTGAATGGAGCCAAGGTCTCCTGTGTGGTGGGTTTGAGCCATTGGCTAAGCCGATATTTAGTGCGGGTATTCCTAAGCCTTTCATGTTTGAAACACTTCCACCGGACTGGGATCAGTTCCGTGAGTAAAACATTGCATGATAATTGTTGTTTTTGTAACAAGTATGGATATAAATTCATGTAGGGGTTGGGAATAACCTGTGACTTACTTAATACTAGGCCGATTTGCTCACAGCCATGGACCAACTGCCTCGGCAACCTTCTGCCGAAGGCCACAATTTCATCCACCCACAACGGATGGACTACTACTCGGTGGTAGCCCTGTACACTTCTGAAAAAAAGCTAACCATCCTGTGGGGGACACGGCTCTAAAAATAGCAATTTTTAAGTGCCATTTTTTTACACGATATTTATTGAGGGTGACCCTTCCAGCTTATTTGATATTCTGTGGCCCTTTTATATAAACAATATTGAAATGATAAGGTGCTCAATGATGATAGACTAAGTTGTATTCGAGGCATAGGTAGTGGAGGTGATTTTTTAGCTGTGAGAAAAAATCCTGTGCAGGATCGTGGGATTATAGAAGACAAGCATCTTGAACCACCAAGCTACTACATCATTACTACTTTGAACCCCCTATCAGGGACCTTGAACCCTATATCGGAGAATCTCTTAGGTGCCACTGATTTTAAATGTATACATACCAAGTCAGCCATTACTGTAGTGCCAACTGTAAACTGACTTCATATTTTTTCCCCAGAGCCTTTACTAGACAGCTTCTTATTGCGAGTGCCATCTGCTGAAACAGTTGAGGTCCAGCAGCTGTTCAATGGTCCTGAGAGCTTCACCCCTGATGGAAACTTCCTTCTGGGAGAAGCACCTGAGGTAGGTGAAATATATATAATGTATAAATATATTATGTGTGCATTGGAGCACTACACTGAAAATGTATTCCATTCCAGATAGTTATGCAGAGTTAACTAGTGTAGTCACTAGATAGAGTGCATGCCCCTGCCCTGTGCCTGAATACCAACAATTAAGCAGCTAGGCTGTGTATGTTGGGTGAAACTACATCATACCCTCACATTATTTTCTTGAGTGTTGCCTGAATACGAAGGGGCGATTACTGTACGTTCTTTTATGCTACAGGGTAAATAATGGAATTTCTGTGACCTTGACCTTTTCCTTTGAATTTTACTTCCAAAAATTGAATGGGGTCTTTCATCGATTGTTATGGACCATTCCACTAAATTTTGTGATGATCAATTCATTAGTTTTTGCAAAATCTTACTAACAGACAGACCGAAAGACAGACAGTCAGCAGTGAATACTTGGCGGTAATAATGTACAAGAAAATAAGGTACATCTTGAAATACTGTGCAAAAAAACTAATTTGGAAGTAGTAGTTATGCAGGGTCATTAATTGCAAATTTGAATAATAGCTATTAAACCTATTCTCTAACCTAAAAAGTATATAAAATATTAAATTATGTGGATAATATAGGGAAATGCAGGGCAACTTGTGCTTGCAAAAAAAAAATAATATAATCTGATATGCAACAACTCAGAATTTGTGCAGTTTTAAATATGTGTATTATATTTTATTGAAATCTTATTGGCAAAGATCTTATAAGCAATGTAATTTTAATAGGTACTGTCATGTTTCTCTTGGATTCTTTTCTCTCCACAAACTAAAAAAAAATTAAGTACTGTATACGTACATTCATTGATAGTCCTGTACAATTTTTCTTAATAATATACATTCCAAAATTCTACCTCCAACCCTGTCCCCAGTACATAGGTTTTCAAATTCTAGGTCTCTCACTGGATTCATGGTATCAGAAATTTTATTTGACAGTTATATTACTGTTGTGCAGTATTTAAAGGTTTACCAAACAAAGTAAAAGTTCAAAAACTGATATTTTGTTTCATCTCAGATTTCAAACTATTATGTGATGGCCGGTTTCAATTCCATCGGAGTGTCAGCTAGTGGTGGGGTTGGTAGCGTCCTGGCTAATTGGATAATCAGCGGCAAACCTCCGAACAATGTCCTTGATGTTGACATTCGTAGATTCACAGATTGTCACAATAATAAATTGTTCCTACGGGATAGAGTGAAAGAAGTCGTTGGTATGTATTCATTGCATTGATAAGACCTGTTAATCGAAGCTCGACCACGGCCACTTTGCTTTCGCCTGGGAAATCTGACCCCTTGTCAAAGGCATCGGCCTCCCGTCGGGGACCTTTCCCCCCTCCATCAGGGACCCCCGGAGACCCCTGTGGGGAAAATCCTGGCGCCACCCCTGCTCCTCTCCCTTGAATCCGCTACTGAACAATACAGTAGATGAACTATTAGAAGTTATATTAATTGTCTATATTTTAAAATTATCAGATTTTATAAAATGAATGTTCATTGGATGTTTAACTTTTACTTAAATTTACTTCAAAGGTCGCTTTTATGCTCTTAATTACCCCGGTGATGATTTCAAGTATGGACGTAATCAGAGATGTTCTCCCCTCTATGCCCGTCAACAGGAGGCTGGTGCTGTCTTTGGTGAAATAATGGGCTACGAACGACCAAAGTATTATCTTGACAAAGGTACAGTCAATCATCAAGTTATATATATGTACACCTGTAGAAGATCACATCGTTGTTCTGTAAAAAGAAGCATAAAAAGTAATTGTAATTAAGAAAGGTTGTCCTAGTCGTTACTATGGTTTGTTGAAGAATTTGCACGTAGTTCATAAATGTCAAAGTTCAAAAGTAATGTAATTGAGGGAGGGCACCCTACACTCAGTGGTGGCGCCAACGGCTGGGGGGTTGGGGTGCGGAGTAGGTGCTTAAGCTCCCCCCCCCACCGGACAGTTTAACGCGAGTCATCGGACAGGGCTCGTTGGGCAGTTGGACTAAAAAATATAAAAATAGGCCGAAGCCAAGCCAACATGTCTGTCACAGTCAGAGAGTGTCGTTTCTGGCCATCCAGAGGTTCCTATTCTTAAAAAAAATATCGTTTGGGAGTGGGAAAGCCTTCTCAAACCCTTCCACCAGCATAGCCTACGAGCCAAATCCACTCCACCGCACCAAATCTCTTTTACCCTTTCCAGCATATTCTGGTACCCATTTACTCCAGTATTTAAACACCGATCAAGTGTCTTGCCTAAGGACGTATGCGACTTTCAATGTAAGGGTTTTGAACCCCGAATGTTGGAATTCCGAGCCAAACTGTTGCACCAATCACATTATGTATAAATTTACATGTAGCCTACAGTGTGTGTATATGTATATATATAGTATCATTTAAGAAGGGATCTAGAATAACATCTTTATTTTTTCTTATTTCAAATAGATGAATTTTTGTCTGGTGATGATAGAGGAACATTTGGAAAGCCTTCTTGGTTTGATAAAGTGAAAGCCGAGTACTGGGCGTGTCGTGATTCAGTTGGCCTCATGGATATGTCAACATTTACCAAGTTCGAATTAAAGGTAATTTATTTACTGTGTATATTCTCGGGGTCGTCTTATACGTGCAACACATACAAGTTTTTGGATTTTTGAAATAAGTTCATCTTATGTGCAGAACTTGAGTAACATGCAAATTTACTATTGAAATAAAGTGTTACTAACTGCTAGTATGATAGAACACAATTTAAAAAGCCCATGAATAGTATTTATTGAAAGTTATATTGAGAGCAGCAGAAAGTAGAAATTCTGACGTCAAAACGGGGGAGGGGTGTCATTTTAAACGCTCAACATGTGCAAAAATCGTCCAAAATTTCTTAAACTTTCCAATTATTATTTACAATTTTAAGGTGTCAAATTAACTGTATACGACTGAATAGAATCTTTTATGTAAATGCTATAAATAAAGTCGATGTAGGTAAAAATGGCCCCTGTAAAAATGGCCCCAAATGACAAGTAGGTAAAAATGGCCCCAATGAAAAAATTCAGTAATAGAAATGATTTTTTTTAAAATATTTAAATACTGTAATAAAGCAAGAACTGAATTAATAAATAAAAAAATAGCCCTCAACTATATAATAATAATATAAAAAGGTAAAAATCGTAAATTTGGTTTTATTTTTTCTTTTGAAAATAAGATCAATTTATGTGATTTTTTAAAAAATGTTTCTAAAATTATTTGTGTTTTAACAAATGAAGTTGCACAACTGATGCAAATAATGTAATGAGAGATTATTGGAAAACAATGGCCATTGAATAACATTGTTTAATAGTAGAAATAAAAGTTTAAAAAAACATTATTCTACTAACAAAGTAGAGGAATGACATACATACAGTACTTCAACTATCAAAATACACAACTCATAGATAACCACAAAATTCACTTTTGTTATTAAGTATCAAATGAAATAACTTTACATGTTATAAACAATGCAAATAAACAGCTAGTAGTTAAAGCTTGTGGATCAATTGTGTGTTTGAATCACAAGTTCATGTATGAGAAAAGGAAGAAGCTTACTTTCTCACAAACTTAGCAATATATGTTCTGCTTAGAGTTACTTCAAAGTAGTATTTGTTAATCAAATATTGTTTTTAAAGTAAACTTAATAATTAAGAATACATTTATTTAAGCAACTTATTTAATTGCATACTTGGTTTTTACTCCCTGCCAACTAAATGTAAGTACCTAAAACTATACTATTACTAAATAATATAAACTGAGATACTACATATACATAGTTATGTAAATGGCAATTATGCTAAGAATTACAATGGCGTGTAATTGTGAGGGTAGGGTAATTATGGTAGGAATCCCACAAACCTCCGAAAATGCACTGTAGAAAACCAAACATTTCAATTGTGATTGACTCACTTGGTATATCAATAAGAAAATTAAATATTCATAAGAACCTATTTTTTGGTTAAAATGTTGATTTTTTTTTTTGGCGAAAACGTACTTGCAAATATACCACAAACCACCAAACACACTGCAAACCCATCCAAATCCTTTAATTATGATTGTAGAACTCCCTTTTTATTAAAAAAAAGGATAATAACTTGATGTTCATATCAATTACCCATTGTTTGTGGGGTTTACCAATACCCAGATTGAATTTCTGAAAAATTGTGATTCCGATTCAGTGAAATTGGCCACAAATAAATTATTTTAGTATTAATAAATGCATGATTTATGTTGATTTATTGATTATGTTGTTGCTATTTTTTAACATTTAAATGAAAAAAAAAATAAAAGTGTTATTCATGGCTTTTCTTTATCTTTGAATATTTTGTCATTGAATATGTAATTTTTGCAAAAAGTAAAATGTAAATGGCAATTTATTTATGTTAAATTTCTTTTTAAAACTAAATGATTTCAGTTAAAAAAATGCATATAATTATTTAAAAAAAATCAGTTTTAACACAGATTTTTATTATTGGGGCCATTTTTACCTACCTGTCATTTGGGGCCATTTTTACCAGGGCCATTTTTACCGGGGCCATTCTTTCCCGGGACATTTTTTCCTGGGCCATTTTTTCCGGGGCCATTCTTTCCGTACACCAAAAAAGTAAACAATTAAAAAATATAATATCAGCCTAAGTTTATATATTATTCATTTCTGCTTTTCAAAAAAACACATTGCAGTAAAAATAATTTGAATGTTACTCCAAAAATTGACAAGGCCATTATATTCTATGTTTCGCTTTTATTTAAGCATCATCAGGATTAATAATACCATGAAGGAAGAAAATAGTTTCTTCCTCCATGATAATACATAGTACAAGGTACAAAGGGACAAACTGTATACAGTTCAAGTTACCAGAAATCCTAATTAATATGCATTTATTTAAATGAGGCAATTACCCAATTAGAGTAAAGTAGTTTTATGATGAGAAAGTATACTGAGAATAAACAGTGCTGAGACAACAACTGTAGATAGAGCAAGTTATCAGAGTGATAACCAGTATAGGAAATAAAATACGTAATCAAAAATTTATTAAACTAGAGAAACAAATTTAATTATTTAGATGCTTTTAATTTTAATGAAATTAACACATTTCTGAATTGCAAGTAGATTTACAAAATGGTAGAATTATTACTATATAATTAAAAAGTGACAATTATATCTATCTGACGACTATAAAATATCTGTCTGACTAGACTATATCTTAAAGCTGACTTCCTTAACTCAATTATTATACCTACCACAATATAATTTTTTTTTTTAAATTTTAGTCTGAAGGATCAGAAGCAACAGAGTTTCTTCAGCGACTTTGTCCGAACGAGATGGACGTTGATGTAGGCACACTGGTCCACACACCAATGCTGGATGAAAATGGTCGCTATCAGAATGACTGCAGTGTGGCTAGGATGGAAGAAAACAGGTGGGTTATTGAAAGTTTATGGAAATTGTGGAATTATATTTATAAAATTTTATTTTTCTATTTCGTAAGTACAGATCTCCCTATAAAGACCATTTTTCTTTGGTCCCTAATTCACAAATGTCTTTCTTCAATATTCTAATTAGAGACCAAAGCTGCAAAAGACCATGTGGCCTTTAATTGGAGGGAGTGGTCTTTAATTAGAGGGAGACCAGTTGTTATGTGAATGTTATACTGTATGCCAGTTTTGGGAAATTACCTTGAAAATAATGGAATCATCTATTAAGTGTTTAATATTTTTCTTTCCTGTTCAGATAACATTCACAATTTTATATTAAAAAAAATATGTAGATTATCATCATCATTATGTTTCAGCGCTAGATGCAAATATTCCTTGATTTATAAATGAATAAAATAGTGGCCGCATCTGATCAATAATGATGGCAACATCAGGCCATTATAACCAAGATTAAACTCATAAAACTTTGATGAAAAATGAAGAAACAATATATTGAATGGAATGCTTGCAAAATATTAGTTCATAAATCATCAAGAAATGTTTTTCTTTTCATTTTTCTTACCTTTCCCATTCATCAATAGATCCACAACTCTTTGGTGTGTTCAATAGACATGCTAATTGTGAGTATACATATTCTGCCTGCCTGTTTCAGATATTTTATCATTTCTCCGACAACACAAGAAATCAGAGCGCATCATTGGATCACAAAACACCTACCACATGACGGTTCTGTTCAGTTACATAATATTACAAACCAGTACACAGGAATCAATGTGATTGGTCCAAAAGCTAGAGAACTTCTCCAAACACTTACACTTGAGTCTTTAAGCATCACAGACTTCCGTCCATTTTGTTGTAAGGTAAGTACACAATAAAACATGTCTTTAAAAGTAAAATTACATCTGTGTATACAAACTCATGTCTTGAAAGTTAAAAATACATATAAATGATGGGAGGTTGATACTGAACTTATCCCAAAATAAAACTAGTAAATTTTGCTCTCTTAAGTATTATGTTGCCATTTTGCTATTTTGACATTTTTTCCACTCTTTTTTCTCCAATAGGAAATAAGCATTGGGTATGCTAACAATATAAAGGCTATGAGTATAACGAATGCTGGGGAGCCAGGTTTTGTACTTTATGTACCGAATGAGGTAAGTCTTACGTTAGACAAGTTTTATGGACACCCTATTAAAGCCATTACTGTACACTCCTCTAGTAACATTACACCACTCCTCTCTAACATGCACCATATACCTCCAGTAAAGCTACAAACACTGTAGCATGGTGATGTTCAGAAGAAAATTGTTTTCCAGTGTAATGTCCAATCACATCCTTTCATGTGTACATGACTGTGATGTATCTAGTTAGTTAATCAGTCAGTCAAATAAATTAATATGAAAATCATGTACATACAGTAGTACCAAAATCCATAAATAATTGCTACTAGCGCTCGTATTTTTAAAACAAACTTTAGTCGAACTTTGAACTAGAACTTAGTGCTAGTTGCAACTTCAACTTCAATTTGTATTCACAAACTAAATAAACTAAATCATGTCCTAGGTTTAGTTCAACTAAAGACAACTGGCAAGCCATGACTATCAAACTAACCAACGAACAGGGCTAACTTTAATAGCTGACGAAATTTTAGAGATCCGGTAACGCGGGTAAATATTAAGCTGCCGTCTGTTGTTCAAAAACGTATTTCCTCTTACAGTAATTCATAATAGACCATCCCCTTAATTAATTTTCTATAATAATAACTATATTAGTTGTTAACTTATTACGATAAAGAATTTGAACAGTCACCGTTAAATTTGCTTTCTTTGGAGAACTATTATAGTTGAGCCGAGCTAGGGCGACGCCATCTTTGTTGTTGTTATAGTGAAGCTAGGTGATTGCAACGCGAGGAAATTTCATGCAAATAAGGAACTATCGCATGTGGCTAGCAAAACATGTTAATATCTTCTTTTTGGGAGCTAAACCTGATGTCTCTTTTGTTTAAAATACCGAAGATATATAAAACCTGTGTATACAATCATTTTTATTCGTTTCACTTTATCGTTACAAAAACACGTTTTTAGTGGGGTAAATATTTCAAGTTGGCGATTTAGCCTGACCCTAGGCTGACTAAAAAAATCGGCCTGCGGAGGTATCATTTTAGTCGAGGTTCGTGTCATTTAGTCGTAGTGCTAGTCAAAGTTCATTTCAAGAATACGAAATGACGTTAATTTTGTAAGTTTTAGCTCAAGTTACGACTAAAGTTTGTTTTAAGATAAACGGGGTTAGTCTGTAAAATAAAAATGACGGTGATATTCTTATTCCTTGGACCAGGTACAGTACCTAAAGTTTTTAAATCAAATCAAAGTTATAGTAGAGTACATTACTGCTAGTAGCATGCCACGACACCCATGTAGGTTTGTGCACCATACCTTTGTTGTACTTGTAGCATGGTCAAAACCTACTTGTCCATGACTTTCTTAATAGCATGGCCCATTCCTTATTGTAGCATGGTCCAAGACCTTGTAGCATATGGTCCATTCCCTTATTGTAGCATGGTCCACAACCTTTTTGTAGTATGGTTCATGGTCTTTTAGCATGGCCCACAGCATTTCAATAGCATGGCACTTGCTTTATTTATTATCATAGCTGCCATGATTGTCAAAATGGTATGTGATAGTCAAAGATCTTATAAACACAAGATAGAATTCTCTTCGATTTACGCATGCAAATTCTGTAATAATGCATAAAAAGCACCCTCTTGCAAAATTGGAAACTTTTGAACCTTGACCGCTCTGACCATAGCGTACGCCGTGCGACTTTACGTTTACGCGTAACAATTAGAAGCGTCCGATTTACAATGCGCTTTCTCTTTAGAACATGAACAAATTAACGTACTTGGTAAAGAACTTATGACGTAACGCGAACACCCTATCTCAGATCCATGGCAACGACTAGGACGCCCTCTCCCAAAAGTAATTACTTTTCTGTGCCAAATCGACGCTTCTATTTGTTACGCATAAATCGCGGAGAACGCTATCTTGTGTTTAGAAGATCTTTGGAGATAGTGCTTAGTATTATAGAGGGCATCACTCTCTTTAAAGCTATAGTTACATGGCACTACACTTAGTCTTTCTGTTCCAACAGTTTGCTCTGCCCCTCTATGACCGTCTTTGGGAGGCAGGCCAGAACTTCGGCATCCGAAAATCAGGTTATTATGCATTAAGGTGGTTGCGTATTGAGAAATTCTTTGGCTACTGGGGAGAAGATTTCAACTCGAGTAATACTCCATTTGAAATTGGAAGAGAATCAAGAGTGAAGCTTAATAAGGTTAGATGCCCTCTTAGATTAAGTCGTTTATCTTTAAATCTTTAAATTGTCTACATGTATTCAATAATTCTTAGTTTATTTATAAAAAAAATTTCTTAAATAATTTATTACATGATTGAGAGATTAATTTAACACATGATGTTATTTTTTACTTAAATTATTAGTAAGGTGAGACACTTTTCATACCTTGTTTTTGAACCCGCCCGCCAATAAAGAAGATTTAGAATAAATATAAAATTTTATTTTTGGCCAATTAGCGCACTTGCTGCCACAAAAAATGGAAGTTTTAGAAAAAAATCGAAAGTATTTATTTATTTTTATTATCCAAAAATAAGATCTGTATATTTCTTCCTAATTATAAAAATTTAAATCATTTAACTATCCCATTACTACGCTGTTTACATTCAACAATAACATTTTATTTTAATTTCTCCTCCATCTGGATGTTTTTGGCAAAACCATTTGCTAAATAAGACTAAAAAAAATTTTTATTTTTATTTTTTTTCCACCCTATTCTGACGATCTTTAAAAAAATAAATTTAGCAAATCAAGGTATAATGAAGTCTCGCCTAAGTAATGATGACATGGATTTATAGTGTGTTTTGCTATATTTAACAGGAGATTGATTTCATTGGAAAGTCAGCATTGATTGAACAGAAAAGCAAAGGAGTTGAGTCGAAGTTAACACAGTTCCTCCTGGAAGACCATGACCTTGATAATGACCTCTGGCCATGGGGAGATGAACCGATTTACCGAGACGGCAAGTTTACCGGAATGTCAACCTCCAGTGGTTATGCTCCGACACTCGGCAAGATGGTCGTAGTAGGTTGGGTGACCAATCAGAATGAGCAGACAGGACAGCGAGACATTGTGACCAATGACTTTGTATTGAAAGGTCATTATGAGATTGAACTATCGGGTAAAAGGTTTCATGCTAGAGGGAGCCCTTACCCAGTGAAGCTGCAGCTCAAACAACCTCAGTTTGGTTAACAACTCTAATTGTATCATCATACTGTATAATTCTGATAGAAACCTTGGGTCAATCAATCAATCAATCAACCAATGAACAGAAATTTGTAAAGCGCAATTATCCATGGCAGATTTTATCGGATAAAAATAACCTCCGACTTGGCATCATTAAGACAAAAGTTATTAGCAGTAAGCCACTGTTTGATATTCACAGCGCACTGTTCTAGTGATTTTATTGCTGACGGAAAATTGTTCTTTTTAAACGAAAGGTAGATCTGTGTGTCATCGGCATACTGGTGGAATTCTATATTGTGATGCCTTATAAGTTTACCAATAGGAGCATTTTAAACGAAAAAAGCAAAGGCACAAGAATAGATCCCTGGGGCACACCTTGTTTAGGAGCATAGCAGACTTCGATTGCTGAATTGAAATCATTAATTCTTTGTTTAGTTTTTGCAGGGAGTTTTTATACTAATATAGTTCAGTTGTTATAATTCAGTAATCGAAGTCTGAACTACTGTATAACAACTCCCTGGTTTTTGTGTCTACTGCCCATTTAGGGGCCTACTGGGTTTCTATTTTTAAGTTTTATGTTAATTTGAAAAAAAAATGTTGTGAACTACAGTATCAATAAAGGAACTTTCAGGGATAATTTGTATGGTTTTGTTTTTTGAAGTCGTAATTCAGGTAGGCCTTCAGGGGCCTACTGGGTTTCTATTTTAAGTTTTACGTTAACTTGGGAAAAAAAATGTTGTAAACTAGAGTATTAATAAAGGAACTTTCAGGGATAATTTGTATGGTTTTGTTTTTTTGAAGTCGTAATTCAAGTAGGCCTTCAGGGGCCTACTGGGTTTCTATTTTAAGTTTTACGTTAACTTGAGAAAAAATGTTGCAAACTAGAGTATTAATAAAGGAACTTTTGAGGGATAATTTGTATGGTTTTGTTTTTTGAAGTCGTAATTCAAGTAGCTTGGCTTAAATAATAATAACAATTATTATTAGCTCTTTTCAGATTGTATTATTTAAACATTCTGCAGCATTATAATGGAAATTAAGACGAGCCAGTGTAAAAATGACCAGGTATTCTCTCAGGGGCAATGCTCGAGTCCCCAGTTTAAAAGGACTGCAGTGGCCACAGACCCCCTTCTGCTAGTATCAGCAATCATCTATTCAAAAATTATTGTGTTGATGATATTGAAAAAAATTAAAATACTACTGTGAAGATAGGGGCCCTCCTATACCTCTACCTGCAGTAGCATTCTTCTCTTATACACATTTCTGGTCCATACATCTCTGCTCTAACAGTCCAAGAAGATGTGAAAAATTTCTTTATTGTCCAACAATTTAAATGACAAAGCTCATGACTGCCAGTACAATGCAAAATTAAATTATCTTAAATACTTCAGATTGTAATCTCGTATCCCAATGAGTACTTTTAACGGTCCGTGTGCTCATTCTACCAATAAGGGAAGACACGCAAAACTATGGAAATACCAAATTAATCAACGCAATTTTTAGAGCAACTGACAGCTGTAATTGCTCATACGTGGTGCCCCATGAAAACATTTTGATAAAGACCAGTGCCATTTTATCAAAACAATCAATTGATTTGGTTGCTTAAACCGTCTTTATATTGGCATCTTCAAACATGTTTTTAACATTGGCAACCCGAAGAAAAAAGTCATCCAAAAGTCGTAGGCCTATATGATTATGAAGAAAGTACTGTAAAATTGTTTCCATCTCAGAATTTTCATAGTGTTAATTGTATATATCTTTTTATTGCTGGTTGGAATGCTTATAAAAATATAACGATTTATTGATTGATTGGCGAAGCTTCAATGGGACTTGCATTCAGTACTGAAAGACAGATTGTCGAAACCCTGTTTGCCGAACCAGATTGCCGAGTCCAGTTTGCCGAAATATAGTTTGCCGATTAAAAAACAATGAATCTCAGTTTGCCGAAAGTAGCGGTGAAACATCAGGACAACAGCATAAAATTCATGATGGAATAATCTCTTACTATGACTTGTAATAAATTACCATTCCCTTTCTTACTTTAACATATTTAATACATAGAACATTCTAGAATAACATTTAATTGATCAAATAAATAGTGTAAACCACATTGGTAATTATAGGAACACATGACACCATGTAGAATCCAAGAGTACTATTTAGAAGTTTCTGGAATCTTGGATACTATAGAGGCAAATAAGTCTAATTGGTTAATTATGATGTAAGGTAACCAATGAGGAACTTAGGCAATATATAATGCTCTTGAATGCTCTGGAGTTGTACAGCTATGTTATATAAGCTGATAGTTTTATCTTTCTGGGGCTCTTTTTGAAACACCTGTTTATCTGAATATTTGTTGTTATTTTAATACCGGATTCTTGTTGGAGTTTATACAGAATAAACGTTTATTTTTGAGTTGTGTTACAACTTTGTGAGCTGTGTTTTATATTTTATATGTCAAAGAGGGATTCCTAGTCATTTCTATACCCCTCAGAAATAGGCCTACGTTAAGTAGGAATTCATGACATATTATGGTGGCAGCAGCGGTCGTTACTGCGTGACATATTATGGTGACAGCGGTGGTCGTTCTACAACATGACATATTATAGTAGCAGCTGTGGTCGTGTTCTACTGTAAACAAGGATTTATATATCGTTTTGCTCAACGAACTGTGTGAATTTTCTACAATTGCAGTAAGTAGTCTGTAAATTTTTTTTTAGACAGTGGACATAGACTAGTCTTTATATTTGGAGCAGTAGACTTGTGAATGTATCGGTAACCACGATTTACTAGTAACAAGACCCTCGTCCAGATTTTATTATGGCTGATCGACAATCAACAACAAGATCCGGTAAGAAGTATCAAGGCGACGACAACCATGACACAGATGAAGAATCTGTTCAGTCGCAACATTCGGAACAAGATGCAGCACACGCTGTGGCACCTGGTGGACTTAACCCAGGCAGTGACTTATCTACAAAAGACGTGCTGTTAATTATGCAACAGCACATGGAACAGCAAATGCAACTGCAACTGCAACGACAAAACATGCAACAACAGCAGCATGATCTGCTAAAGCAGATTATGGATAGCCAGCATCAGCAACGTAAGGAAGAACGGGAAAGACACAAAGAAGAAATGGACAAACAAATGGCTTTAGTAACGACTCTGATCGATAAGCAAAAGGAAAGTGATGACAAACGTCTTAAAGACATTAGGAAATTGAAGGCGATTCAGATTGCAAAGTTGTCTGAAGGTGATGATATTGAGAATTATCTCACCACATATGAACGAATCGCAAATACCTACGAGTGGCGTAAGGAGCACTGGGTGGTGAAATTGAACCCTCACCTGACGGGCAAGGCACGGGCGGCTTATGCAGCACTACCTGTGACGGACAGCAACGATTACGACAAAGTAAAAGAAGCCATATTACGAAGGTATGATATTACAGAAGAGACATATAGACAGAGGTTTAGGGCAATTTGAAAGAAAACTGAGAAAAGTTATAGAGATATGTATGTAAAGTTAAAGGATTTATTTACCAAGTGGGCTAAACCTAGTGACAAAGTAAAGATGATTGGCAGAAATAGTCATTTTAGAACAATTAGTAGAAATTATGCCCATGGGCGGATTTAGGGGGGGGGGACCGCCTGGGACGCGCGTCCCCCCCCCCCTTATATCACAAAAAAAAAAAAAAAAAAAAAAAAAAAAAAACCCACTCCGGGCTAGCCTATTTACGCTCATGTTGCCCGGTTGTCTAATGAAAAATTAGCAAGAAAAAACATTTTCTTTAAGTTAAAAAAAGAAAAATGGACCTCGCGAGGGGAGAATTAGGGCCCGGAAGAGGCGGAAATTCCACACTCCCCGGCACTTCCTTCCCTTCCAGGGAACGATTTTCCTCCGGTACACTCGGAGACGCCAATCTGCAAGAACAAGAAATGAAAAGGCCTATGATGTACACTGAATGGTCAACTTAACAAATCTATGTTCCTGGCTACAATATTTTTGATGAAATATTTCACAAAAGATTATTTTTTTGCATTTGAAACACTTGAAACGATCAATGTCTCCTTCCCTCCATCTAAATCATTTGATGCCGATCTGAGGAGATAAAAATATGGACACCCTCTAGAATATCCCCATGATAGGAACACCCAGTTACCCCCCCCCCCCCAATAACATCCGCCAACAGACACCCAACTACATGCACACTGACAAAGCGCTAGCGGAGCTTTGGAATATTTAACTAGGTCACCCTTATCCAAGTCGTCGCGTATTTTATTATCAATTCTCAACAAAGATACTAGATATAAAAACAAACTGGAATAGACACCCAGACAGTGACATCGGTGAATACATAACCTCCGTGGTGGCGGTAGAAATCGTTGCTATTATCCAAATAATACACAAAACAATTAAAGCATAATCATGAATCAGTAAAGAATAAAACAACAATACAGCGCAGAATCGCATGGCCGGACGCACTCTTAGTGAAAAAGTTTTCCCTCATTAGTGGAAAAGGAAGGGCGCCTTTTGCGTCTGGATATACTTACGTTGGGCACGAAGTATAGGAAACTTGCATGGTTAAAAAGAAGGGCGCCGCCTACGTTGGGCACGACTTCCGCCTGATTTTTACAACGCGAGAACTCTAGCTTGTAATTCTAGTATCTTTGCCGTAACTAAAAATAGCTATGGAATCTATCCTATCTTACTGACGAATCAGAAAGCAGTACTCACCTTCGTCATCAAATCGAATTCAACAATAAAGCTAAAACGCTGCACTGATTGGCTTACGCAATGACATTCAGATAATCACGTGAAACGCTATGACTGGATTCGATCAAAGTTGTCTGCTTCGCTGTTCCATAAATGGCGGCATAATTCAAAGTGATGGAAATCCTGATAACAATCACAGATTTTGCAAAACTCGAAATCACACACACCAGACACAGATAACATTACAAAACAGCAAAAAACGACACTAAATCATCCTTGAATTCCACCTATTAGACAATACAGTCCAATTAGATAGAATCCAGGTGACTTCGTGCCTGCATTAGAAATAGCGATTATAATATTAGTGAATAAATAACTGAAAATACGCTCCAGCACTACTGACGCTAAATAATAATGAGTTGAACCATAATACAATAATCTTAACTAAGCCTAACCTATTCCTACAAATCATAAAATACTAATATATATTAAGGTTGTATATTTTCCGGTAACCAGCATGAACACGGGCATACCGTGTTACCGTTCTGGAATCACGAGCCTAGTGCGTTAATATACAAAACGCATCCATATCACGAGCATGGATAATATAATAGAATTATTAGGAAAATAAAAACAACCTGCTACCCTGCTAGGTTATAAATCCAAGACGGTGAAAACACGTGCACCAACAAGGAAAACCCACCCAAGACTGAGCCTCTGTTATTGAATTGAATGAATACGACGAACACCGAAACATGGCTGTCTCCAAGGTAAACAACCTGCGACAACAACCAATATCCGATTTCAAGGCTAGAGCTAGCGCTACTGCCAGGCCAATTAACTGACAGAAAGTTCGCTAGTTTAATCCTTAATCGTCTGAAAACCCATCCACTGAACTTTTGGGGAAAACTAAAGTACAATAGTCCTTCGTTTTTACCCGCAAGCCCAATGGACTCAGCGAGAAGCGAGTGGCAATAAAAACATCCGCACGCTCGAAGGCTGGAGGCTTGGTCAGTCAAACTACCGAAACTTCTCCAAATTTACCTCGTCGCCAATAAAGAGAAAAGTGTCAGTTCTCTTTAGGGTAAGTTTACCGTATTAGACGTATGACCCACAAGATGAGGTAGGTTCCATGGAAAGGCATCTTACCTTAGGCTTCCTATGATACCGTCCCGTACTGTAGGTTTTAACGTCCT